ATTTTTTCCTGCGTTCGCCCCTGATGATATTGTATTTTATATAGGTTAAAAATGCATCAATTCTTTTGTATGATTTACACAACATTATTGGTAATACCACAGAATATATATTATGTATTATATTTTTCATATATTCTGCGTGGTAATACTAAACTTGACTTGTCCTAACCATTAAAAATTATAAAAATAAATACATAATTATATTACGTATCGTTAATAAAAAATAAACAATGTTTATGAAATACATTTTAGAGTTCTTAAAAAAGTATATATTATTGACATTTCCTCTATATAACTGAATACGTGGCGTTCAGTATTTCTAGGAATATAATATGTCCTCTTAAATCGAACTCAGAAATATTGTGTAGCAGAAAAAATAATGTTTTTAATTGGATGTGTAATTTTAAACGATGCTCTAGTAATTTCACGAAATGTTAGGTCCTTTATTTTTGTCAATTTTAAGCCTTTGTGGTTACTAGAACGCTTCATCGTGAAATCCATATGAAATACTATTTTTTATTTTGTCATTGTGATTWAATCAACCTCAAAAGAGTTTTTTATTTCTGAGCCATCATCACGACCGACTTGACACCCGTAAAAGAGTCACATCTATAATATTTTTTATCGGAAAAAAACAGTTTGTTATGTACTAGTATGTATATAATTTTACTTGTTCATAATAAAGTTGTGGTTCATAAAAATGAATGGGTTTTTTAGCCAAACATATACCAACGTTATGTTGAATGGCACTTGATTGTCGTTATTAATATTTTTTTGAAATTTCAAATAACCAATCAACAAAAATATACTTATCTTTCTTACAAATGGACAACAAGCGCCATTAGTCAGTTTTCCTATATTATAATAAACCATGGTGTATCCAGTGAGAGTCGTAGGACTCTATAGATATAATTACCGTAGCCAGGGGTAGATATATATATAACAGGATCTTAAATATATTTAAATAACTAGGATTCCGTTTCAGTTAACATTAAGTTTTATTATAGATTAAACACTTAGGTACAAATAATAATACTCACAACTCACAAGCTATATAAATTATATTCTATCCAACTATTTGACTGTATCGTAGTTATACGGAGTTYGATATTTATTGAGTGTTGAGGTCTAAGGTACACAGTGAACTAACTTACTTCATACATGGTGTGTATTGACCATAGGTTTTACAGTTATGAGTGTGTGTTAATATTATTGTATTGGTCAGCAGTTCATCGTACATAATGTTAAGTCTATAGACGTGTAGTACATATATATATATATATATATATTTAGGTATCATGTAACATATTATAATTGTTACAATGGCATACCTTTAGAACAAGTCAATTAACGGAAATGGTTAAATTAATGAGAACTATTTTAATTTGCATCGATGTGAATGATAAAATACTGTTATCACGAAAGTAATAATTACTATTTATATTTTCGATGTTACTAATAAAATTATTTTAGTTGTGCTAGGTTCGTGTACCTATCATTAATTAACCATGATATAAGATAAAATTCACTACCTATATTTATGATAAATTTGAATTTGGTGTTTTGATAGTACAATATATAAGTCCACTAAACAATACGTGTTAGCAATTTAAATTCTATAACCATCGACAATACGCAACATGAATTTTAAAAGACATCCCACATCTCGCTTTTTCTTTTTAAAGTTCAGATTAAATCTTTTTTTACTCCAAAGTTCAAATAATATCATTACATGAATATAATGCTCTTTTACTTGAATTATAATATCATAAAAAATTTTCTCGTTATAAAAAAAACGTTAAGTCAAGCGTTTGACATCATATTTTCATCAACTTTTATAAAAYATTTCTTCAAGACAATAATGAAATATAACAGACAAACCAATAAAATTATCTTTAATTTAATTGATTGGTATCTGTTTTATTAAATATATAATATAGATATGTATGTATGTATGTATCACAATTTTATTCAAGCGTGGCACGCTCCTCGTTACGTTAAGTTAACGAGATTCGACTATTTTATATTTATTTCATGTTRATCATAGTTTACAGACAAACGTAACGTAATTTTATTGGTCTAACTAGACTCTAGCTATACGATGTATGAAATCGAATAATAAACTTTTCAATTTTATTCCTTAGAGCCCAGTGTTCATGACCGGACATTTTGGAACTGCTGCCTTACCGAAATTGAAAGCCGCCTTGGAAATACTCGATGCGTATTTAGCAAAAAGTAAGTGGGTAGCCGGGCCCGAAGTAACCCTAGCTGATATCGTCGTAGTGGTCACTATATCAAGTTTGGAGGTAATTTTAAAACTGTGTTGTSTTCTTAAGAGGAAAAATTGTATTTTAAAAAAAGATGCAAAGCTCATATTTCAATTGCATTCACCTAATTTTATTTTTATACAATTTTATTGTATAAAATTAAGTTAATATTATAATAATCACATAGAAACATTTGATAAAAATATTTTTATTTCTTTTTGTAGATTGTGGGCTATGAACTGACCAGCTATCCCAACATATTGAAATGGTTTAAGGCCGCACAGACAACATTACCCGGTTACAACGAAGCCAACCACAAAGGAACGATAGCGTTTAAAGACTATCTGTTTTCAAAATTGAAAACTAATTAAAAATCTACTTATCTAAAATTTGAATCATCCATTCACACCGTTCATTTGATGTGACGGCGTATTAATTAATAATCATAATTGTTTTAAAGATACAGATTGTAAGAATTTAAATTTTATTATTTTTACTGTCAATTATTCAAGTGCCCAGAGGAAAATAAAATAATWATTATTACACTTTACCTATTTTAATTKATTTGAGTTAATCGTGCACGTGACCAGACCTTCYATTTTTAYCACTCCAATTTTATACACTGTTGTATGAATTCATTACATTGATTACATTCAATGCATTTGYMATAATTAAACGTTACTGTAAAAACAAATAAATGGTTGGTGTTTACCTAGAATAAATATAAAGTAAAAAACYAAAGTACCAAGGTATATACGCTAGAATGGCCGTTTAGAATTGACGTTTATGCTCTTTAAGTTGATARTAAAAAAAAAACTTCAAAGYTCATGAGGCAGATAACTTTTTTCTCCAAATGTATCGTTGTAAACATGCCGTGTTATAACGATGAAACAGAAYGAAATKATATTATATAGAAACTGGCGTTTGTCTAGCTCGTCACTTTCAATGATACAAACAGTAAATAATATATATTACGCAAACCGTGCGTTATTATTAATCGTTTAAAAGTAATGATAATAATATAATTGGTTTTAAGTCTACCATCTCACTAAATCCATGACAACATATTGACATGGTTTATTGTAGTTAATACCTTGAAAACTCTTGGATTTATCAACAGGCTGGCTTGRGGTYTTAAATTTGATTCGTCATTTAGATTACTATATGTTACTTTAATCAGTCTAATCCGACCTATATTAGAATATATTGCAGTTTCTTGGTGTCCTATTACTGCTAATGACTCTATCCAGCTCGAAAGAGTACAACGCCGTCGGTTCCTCTGTTCTGCTGGTTTCTTATTAAGTATTAATCACCCTCCTCACGACTATTCTGCTGTTACTGCTAAATCAGGTCTTAACTCTTAAGTAGATCGCAGGAGAATGTTTGCGTAAAGTTCCTTAAGGGACTGTTGTCTGGTAAAGTCGATTCATCCGTTTTATTATTCTTATTTCTTACTCCAACTTCAATTTCCTTCCTCGTCGTAACCGTTATAATGTTCCTTTCCACGCCCCTATATGYTCGAGTAATTATATTAAAATTAGCCTATTAAGCATTTAATGTYAATGATCAATGAAGATCCCCTTATCGATCTTTAACTTTTTTCCATCTTTTAACTTTTGTTTTTATATTAATTTGCTTTAATGTCTTAACTGTACCTTTTTTTTTATCATAATCGTTAACTTAACTTAATTTTCTGCTATATACGTATTTTATTGAAATTATTATAAATATGTAATTTCTCAAAATTTTAAAAAGAGTCTCTAACCCGTTTACTATTATAAATAAATAAATAATGATGATTTCATGAAAATCTCAGATCGAAGCACATAATTATTATTTTTATGTATTTTTAGCTGGGTAAAAAAAAGATTTATCTTGCAGAGGGTAAATCGAAATGGTTTTCGAAATAAAAACTATAAATTAATAAAGTGAAATAATACGTATAGCCGACCAACATCTATCAGCACTCTCGAATTATTATTTTTATACAGTTATAAATTTTTACTCGGCGTTTTGCTTTATCACCGCAACCATTGTTCTCCATTATGAGAGAAAAATTATAAATTATGTATATAGGTATATATATATATAAATCTTATTCGGGAATATTAATGCATTGCTTTTTGCTTGCCTTCTGCCTAGTGCGCGTGGGGGTATATTATCCACTTGAGAGCTAAAAAAAAATGCATTTCCACGATCCTCACAATATGCACGGATTTCTTCAAAAATGATCAAACCGTAACTTTAATGATAAAACTCGAGAACTGGATAAATATTACAATATGACTAGGTTTTGGCCATAAATATGGTCCTAAGAATTAGTTGACGGTACATTTTARGTATATTTATTTAGTTTWTTATTTGTTCTTTTATGTAATCATAAATATTACATTTCAGGCATTGAATGTTTATTTACCACCAATTCTCATTTAAAATTATRTCATCTGAAGGCCGATATTATTTATCTTTAAAATACATTCGAATTTTATACATCCTTAGTAGATCACAATTATATACGAATAATAACTAYAGAAGAACTAAAGTWATTTAGGAAAAATAACTTACTAGAAAAAAATACAGGAGGAAACTACTCTTAAAGTTATACATGAAAAAATATGAATACAAATGAGAATGAAAATGACTTAGAAAAGATAAGTGTGGACACAAATAATGTAGTAGATAGAAAACGAAACAGAAAATCACAGGAAGACAAGTGGAAAAGAAAAAATAATAAACACAAAAGAATGACTGGACAGGGAAAGTAGTTGAGCATAATGTTGTAAGTGAACCAAGGAGTTTAGGAGATATGTGTACTTCTAGCTTTTACTTAAAAGCAGTTAATCGCTTTTATAGCCAATTTAATGAAAGTCAGAGGAAAGGCATTTTTTTAAATTTTGGAACACTTCATGGGAAGAGAAAAAAATATATGTTTTGAGCTTAGTTAGTAAAATTGAACCAAAAAGTGACACGACTGGCTGTAAAACAGATAGTAGAAGATCAAATACTTTTAAGTACCAACTTATTAATATTGTTTTTTTTTTGTTGCACACGGTTGCCTATTGTTATTATATTGTGGGTGCCTATAAACCTTGAGATATGTTCAATAAAAAATACGATCTCCAACACGCCATCTTACCTAAGTCTTGTTTTTATTATTATTATTATCGCCGTCAAACCGGGATTCTGGTTGTTGTCTACGTCGGCACCGTCATTCGTCTCCGCGTTAAGTCCGCCAGCAACGTACATACGTACGTTGTGTGAGAGGCCGCCCAGGTCGTCCAGGTCGTGCTGCCTATTGCTTCRAATCCATCATCGTCTCAAAATTTCAATAGGATTAAGTTAGCTTTAAGTATTAKCCCTGTTTTTGTGAGCTCTTTGGTCATTGCACCAAACCGAATCGACCACAGAGACCCTCTACCCATAATTAGCTTGCATCATCCTCATTCCTCGGTAGGTCTCYCCAGTCCTCGTCACTGTCGTCGCCGTGTATAGAATTGCCTACCCACCACAATATCAGGCGAAGGCACATTTRGTTGCCTATCCATTGAAAATAGTCATTGTTTAGTGGTGACATTGGCCACCATCAACGTAAAAAATCTCGTCTCTGTTGTAACCGAGTGRTCMTTCGGGTAGCCCCTGTTGTGGGGCGCGTACAGTACTATTTATCCAATCACATTCCCATTGTTCAACAAGATTATAACTTGCGTTTTTTACTGATGTACTTTTTTCAATTGTTTTTTCATACAAATCTTCYATTGTTGCATGATTTATATTATTTATAGCTTCTCTATCTTTATAACATTTAGTACAACCGTGCCAAAAAYATCCATGATAWTGATAAACTGTTTYTGATTTATTATAAAATCCGTCTATTTTRGCTCCTGCTATTTTTTTTTCACCACCGTTTAATGCGTGTAAGATATTTTTATTATTAAAATGTTGTRACCACGTTATCGATTGTTTTGAATATTTTTCATTTTTTCTTTATYAAAAACAGCTATAGTATCTTCTAAAAAATATTTTGATTTATAAATAGACATACAAMCACCTGCWATAGTCGTATATCGAAAAGGATCTATATTAGCTATTTTCAAAAACTGTTTTCTGAATTCTAAACAACTTCTTCGTAAAACATCTACATCTGAATTACAGTAAGACTCTAAATCTTTTTTAAAATTAAATATATAATTTTCCTTAATTATTTTACTATCGTACCATTTTTCAAATTCTTGTTTATTCTCTGTTTTCATTGTCTTGTATMCGTAATATTCTTYATMAGGYAATACGCCTATATAATCTTTATTTTCCACTGTATTAAAAAAATGTGGGAAGTAACCTTTTTTCAACTCTTTAAGACCAAAAGTTTTGGGAAAACTACTAAGTGGAGCTTGAATAAAATTACTACTATCTTTTTTTTTTATATTTAAACGTTTAATTTCTAATAACATTAGTTTTGTACCACTATAAATTGTAAATGGTTTTGGAGTATTATCAACCAAGTATTTTAATATAAATTGTGAATCGTATCCTTTTGCGTAATGAGCTATGAATGTATGTTTTAATAATTGAAAAATCTATTATTTCTTATTTATTTTATAATAATTTTAGGTATGTAATTATATAATTTGCATATAATTTACAATGTTGTATTATTTAAAAAAAATTATTTTTCTCATATTTCATTGCATACTAATAAGTAATAATCATTCATAAAAAGGTGAATTATATATTTTTCATCTGCAATAATTGTGAATGAGCGTCCAATAAACACATAACATAATGATTGTGAATGATTAGATRTCATAATTGGTAAGTAAATTATCTTTCTTAATTTTATAATTTATTACATTTCAAAATTTTTAATTTTTGTAATAGCCTACGTTGGAGTACTAACCCAACMGGGACTCTATCAAATGGGTACTATTAAACAGTGTTGTTAAGGCACGCGTTCCTAAAGGAACGATTCCTGGAATTGATTCCATTTTAGAGGAACGAAGGAATTAATTAATTCCATTCTTTTTTAAAGGAATAGGAACGTGAATTAATTCCTTATTTTTAGGAATAGGAACGTAGTAAATATTATAATTCTTTTGTTCTTTTCAGAAATGTTTTAAAAAACATTTTGTAAGAAAAATTTTGTTTACTTTTCTAATTTTTAATCTATAATATAATAGTTAATAGACGACTGATAAGTGATAACGAAATACTCAAATAAAATAAAAATATGTAGGATGTATATTAAAATAATTGTATAAAGTATTAATGTAAACCAAGGTAAGAACCAGATACTGTTTTAGAGGAACAAGGAAAAGAACGAGTTCCTTTTTTTATAGGAATGAGGAATTGAACGAGTTCCTTTTAATATTAAATGAACGAGGAACTGAATGAATTCCTATTTATGCTAGACGAACGAGGAATTGAACGAGTTCCTATATAAAAGGAACTTTAACAACACTGCTATTAAATATTATTTATCTTCTCGCAAGTATATAAGCACTGAGCTTCACAGGGACCCTCTTTATTTATTTGCATCTGGACCTTTTCTTTTTATATTTACGATGATACGATAATTTACAATAATTACAATAATTTACACATAAACTGTACAAAACATTAATATTGAGACTAGTTTTAATATAATATATAATATTATTATTATAAATTATACATAAATGCTATAGTAAATTATAGTTAATTAGTACTCCCAGTATAAAGCTTATAAATATTAGATTTTTATTTTTGAGTAAAAAAAGTTGACATTTTAAAATGTTATACACATGTAATTATGTTTATTTTACAAAGGTACTATATGTAGTCTATTAATCTATAATATCAAGTGTGAAATAATATATAATCMTATTAAATTGTTTCTAATAATATATCTATAGATAGATGGAAATGTATAAATTATTATCTATATCTTACCTTGTAAGTACCCTATTTAAACCCGAATGAGTTTCGATTTTAGTTTTYAAAACACTCATTGATGGAAAGCACATCCGGGATCGCAATTATTTATWAYCTCAATGGTGTTAGGTCGTATGTCAATTGGTTGAGWAGCAAAAAAAATGTTAAATGTTCGCAAATTACGCAAAAACAAAAAWTTTTTAATTATAATTTGTGAAAACAAGCTGTTGAATTAGAAATGGCCTTGCRTTGTAAAACCGATTTATTTATTTGTCTATTGTGTAATTAGYAATTACAATAATGCATTTTCCGACTCTGTAATAAGTTGAAGATCCAATACTAAGCACCTATTAAGTAAAAAATGTGTATCRGATATATCTGACATCTRCATAGTAAGTGTGCAATATAAATCACGATAACTTATTTGTTATAATAATAATTAAATTTCTATAATATTTGTGTTTATGCATGACTATTATCAAATAGGATAACATATATCTATAGTATCTACTTAAGTCTTAAACCCACCTTCAAATTGCACATTACACCAAATTGTGAAAATAKCATTGTATGATATTTGAACAAAATATTAATTTAAATTGAGATAAAAATAAGTGAGTTGAGCTATTGAAAATATTATAAGTTTCAACTTTTGCTGTTAAATAAATTTAAATAAATTTTATAAGATTTAATATACACATTTGTAATTCAKAGAACACACATTTCAAGCCTCAATTAAGGGATTTTTAGAAATTTACAATATTTTTTAGTAAATTTGTAATCATAATTACCAATCTTCAATTAATAATAATTGATAACATATTATTAAGARAATAATTAGATATACCTAWTATAATTGTTTAGCGTATTATATTATTATTTAGTTTTATGTGGCAAACAGGAATACATTTACATATTATTTAACACTATAATGGTGCTCATATTATATAGTATCTTTCTTCTTTTTGTCGTCCCTTTGATGTCTGTGAAAATYTAGAATTACATAATATGCGATAGATTTTTATAATATTACGACACTTCGATTAATGATTATAATTTCATAAAATTTTTCAGTATACTGGTTAAACCAGTTTCGATCACTGCACATAAGTGCTGCATCACCAATTATAGTTATTAGTCAGCCCGTCTAACAAATAACAAAACGCTATTATCTATATAATTATGCGGAAGTCTGTTTTAATTACTATTTTGTGCATCAATTTTTTTAATTGAAGSGTCGACTATGATTTTGAGCCGTTGGGCAACAGCTTTTAAAAAACAATTCACAAAAAAAGAACAAGAATACAAAAAAGTGTTTGTTTATAATTTTTAATTTTTAAAAAGCAATAATTTATATTATACCATTGAATAGTGTAAAACGAAAATGGTGTAATCAGAACACGGAACACGAAATCTGAATCTGATCGGAATAAACGCATTTAAGTGTAGACGCCTATTTCTTGGTGAGGTTGTTTACCATGATTTTGAATCCATCGATTCCCTTTTGATTAGCCTCTTGGTATCCTATTAATGTACTCTTGGACTTTTCAAACCATTTGGAGATGTTGGCGTACTTCTTCAAGTCAATGCCGACAGCCTGAAGAATACCCGAAAAATCCGTGTTAAACGTGTGCCCAAGTTGTGTAAAAAAAAAAAAATCGTTTAGAACATACCTCAAAGGTCGAAATAGAAGCGACCAAAGCTATATCGGCCACAGTCACTGAATTACCGGCAGCCCAAGTGGACGATCCCAAAAAGATATCCAAAAACGCGAGTGCTTCGTGGATTTTCTTCTCTTTGTCGTCACTTTTCGGTACTCCAGCGAAAATCCACGGGTACTTTGAAATGAAAAAAAAAATTTTAATCACAATTCGACAAATGTATTATGTATATATATATATACAAAACTATAATAAAAATCTAACGCGTCAACGGGACATTTCACCGTACCTTTTTTATTGGGAGTTTCTAAGAAATTTGAGGGGAGCTATATTTAACGATTTTAGATAGTATCGTCCGTGAACAAATTGCTATAAATTAAATGACTTGAATTTTTTATTAAGTAAACCAACTACATATTACACGTCTCGAAAAATGGTTTTAACGTGTAGAAAACTATTCCTTCATTTTTTTTAAATTCATTTTTAACAATTTATTTATTTTATTTGATCACTGGTCCCCTCGGTATCTTGGTCATAATATTTTTATGACAAACCTAAACGAATAATACAATATAATTATATGACGAGTAGTAAGGTTAGTCGGTAGAATATTATTCCTATAGGTACCGTGTGTAAAACTTTAATAATATTGGTACCGTATAATAATATTCAGTGTGCGTCCGAAAAAAAAAAGGTAAGTACCTACCAGGTAACCTGTAACGATCATATTTAAACTCCGAGAAGGAAAGTCCATCGTGTCAAATGAAAACGATAACCGTTGCTAATTTGTCGTTATAATATGAATTCAGATACTCACGTATTGATCGGAAAAGGCTGGGTACAAGGTGCTGACGTCAAACTGCAGTCTTTGATTTACCAACGCTTGCTTCTTCGGGTCTTTGGGGAACAGTGAATCGTCTTTTCCGTAAGCTTGAACCAAGTACACGATTATTGCACGGCTGCAATGGAAACATCAATTATTTTTTWAAAAAAAACTAATATTTATTATTAAGTATTATATTATTATTATTACAAGCAGTCGGTGGTGCGCTCTTCCCCCCTCCCCAATTGTATACGGGGGTGGATGCACCACCGTATAAAATTAATCAAAATATTACAATCAATATCTAATGATCGTTGTCCGAGAATAATGACTACGAATCACACAACGTTATGGGACAGAGTTACGTTGCACAAATGTTCCTTCGAATAACTCAACAAGTCAATAATAATAATATGATGATACTATACACTACATTATTTACATTAACGTTTAAATACAATTTTCATAGTGAAATATGCCAATAAGTCGATCGGAACAAATAAATCGCTTCGAAAGTTAGAATTATCCAATTTACGAAGGTCTGTTGTACATGTTATACAGTCGGAATTACGTTTGGATGTTTATCTTCATTTTTAATATTTTTTTTTTTTTTTTTTTTTTTTTTTTTTTTGAGGTAAAGGCTTCAACATCAAAAGGTTATTAGCCTAGATTTTTAATATTGTAGCGTATAATATTTGTATTTACCCGGAAGAGTAGATAACGGATGTTACTAGCCAGCTAGTTAGCTCTAACTGAATAATACATTTTTTTATTATTATTATTTATAGTAAACATAATGTGCTTAGATAAACAGAATAAATCATGTATACCTAATATATGCGTGAAGTAATATTGTATATAACTAAAATGCAAAGCTAATGTATGCCACAATCTATATAATACGTAGAATAAATTATATAGTTTAAGAATTTAGAAATTTTATTTTTTAAATCATTTCGGAAAATATACAATTTTGCTCTTGTCACTTGTATTATAAAATGTATATCATGCTAATCACTAAATCGATTTTATGTAATTTAGATATTTTTTGAAAACTGAGTAATATCTTAACTGTGATGTACATATATGTATATTAGACCTTACTATAGTAAAATTATCATTAAAAGTTATATTATGTATTAAGTATAAATGATCGCATAAATTTCACTAAATCTCCTAAATGTTTTAAATATGCATATATAGAGCCATATGTTATAATAAGACTCTATACCACGCTAATTCGTGCTTTATGCATACCTCTCATAAAATGTTGAAATTTAATAATAAATTAACATAATGATGGACAAATTAAGTTTTAAAGTTTATAATAACAAATAACACTTCGATATACTATATATCTATAAGCCATATTTATCATAATTTTAGTCATAAACAATAGGTACTACATATAATATACAGATTAAAATTATTTATTATTATTATTTACGTTGGTATAATAATACAGCTGACGTAATAATGAAGTGTACAAAATATATTATTATTTATACCGAAAAATAAATAACGTGTCAATAATTTCGAAGACTTATGTTATTATCTTATCTGCAGTATAGCCGGAAGAACTTTGTACTTTAATTAGCAGTTATTGTAAACCAAATATATTATTTTACATATTATAATAATATCTTTCATTATTTATTGTTGCATATTCAACATTTATATTATATGATATTACACCTATACTGTTTATACAAACAATAATCATAAGTATCATATTACGATCGGTGGGGACTGTCCATCGGTTATTAGCGAGTAGAAATAATATATTGTACGTCATTACGATTTATACTGTTAACAATAAATGTCTATATAATACGTTTATGTTATTATTTATATTAATAATACATTACATTTACAACTCGTATTATAGTTACCTATCTAATAAATATTTTAACTTGGACTCACCTCTCCCACAAAACTAAGTCACCGTCCACCAGTGTTGGTACACAATGTTGAGGATTTAGCTATAAAATAAAAACGATTATAATATTAACACACCGTACAGCACAGGTACTAACAAAACAATAGAATGAGACATATTTTTTCGAAAATTTACCTTGACGAATTCTGGTTTCAAGTGTTCACCGTGGTGAAGATCTAAAGTTTTCAAGTTCAATTCCAAACCCAAAGCTTTGGCAGTAAGCAAAACGGATCTGCATGGTGGACTACCAGGAGTGTAGTAAAAATCGATCGGCATTCTACAAAAATAAAAAAAAAACACACTTTTAATATAGATACTAGTATTGGAATATTAGGTAGGTAAGTACTAAGTAGATAGGTAGGTACAATAAAACAACGAGAACGAATCACTTTTAAATCCGCAGTGGTCGTATTATACGTATTACAACTAATTATTATCCAAAGCATTTTAACGTTGGCTCAATATATGACTTCTCAAAGACTCAAAAGTATAATACGCTGTCTATAGTAATATAATATATATATAGTATATATATACAGGGTGATTAAAATATTAAAATAATATAGGTAATACAGTGAAACCTCCTTTAACAGACACCTCCAAATAACGGACGGAATTTTGGAAACGGTGAAATGTGTACTTACTGTATTTCCCCTCTTAATAGCGGACACCTCCAAATAGCGGACGACATTTAAGCAACCGAGAGTGTCCGGTATTTAGAGGTTTCACTGTATTATATTGTAGGTAGGTACTGTATCAGAGTAACTCAGTAACTGAAAGACGTCACCTATCTCGATACAGTTGAAACGTGAGAGGGACGGTATATCAGTGAAATGTCTAATATTATATGATGATTTGCACCAAAATAATCATATTTTACATAGAAGATCACTATCCCGAAATGGGACAATACGATCATAATTATTAGTTTGGACAACGGTTTGGACCAACAACAATTCGGTAGTGTGTTTCTACAACATCAGTGAAACATTCAAGAACAACCACCTTCAACGTTCGTGTTTTTAACCTGACCACCGTCGTTAACAAGACGAAACACTTGCACGCACGCAGCAAAAAATAAAAAATAACGTTGGTCGCTTCGCGTGTCACGAACCCTAAAACCGAAGATACTTAATAATATTATCATTATATACGAACAACGATAATTATTTGTTTCCTTTCTGGGATATCCCGTCAAATGCATGAGAACACCATTTCGATAATATTGAAATCCGAGTGAGTCGACCATGACGTCTTATATTTCATATTTTATTCTCAACAAATCCTACAACTACAACAACAACAGTCGGTAATGTAAGTGGCAATATAAATATATAATATTRCATCATATTATAGGTCTACAGTATGTGCGAMGGAATTCCTGCACCAGAATGCACTTACTGCGCTGCAGTGCATTAACCTTRCAGCCWACGATGTTTTATAATATTAGATACAGGTAATAACCGGTTACGCGTGAGTTGCAGTTTTCCCGGAACAAACTCGACGAATCAAGACGAACCAAATGTGTTATGAACTATTTTTATATTTCAATTATTTTTTTAAAAATTTTTAATCGCTTTTTCATGTGTGGTTCGCACGTTTGCGAACTACCAACAATTTTTGTTTTCAGGATATCATTTAATTATCATTATTAATTAYGGTAGCGGTCAAACGACACTGTTGGCAGTATTTTATTTTTTTTGTGCACCACGCCCGTGCYACGGTCACGGTATACGACGAATGTCGTTCAAACTTTTCCAACCACAGAAGACTACAGTCGGTAACACTGGTAACAGGCACGTAATAATGTTAGTTGAAAAAATAGTTAGACATTTTTTTTTTTTTTTCGGAAACCGTACAGCACATGTAATGACTTTTAGCGTAAACGTACATTTACAAAAAAAGAATAACACATATGGTATAAATTATTTACGTTACAAGCTTTTGTTGTTTATTATAAACCTGTTGACCTGACAAAAGTTCCAATCCCACCGAAATTGTTAATTAATTAAATACATTTCACCGGATGACAAAAAAAGACCTTCAGAGTTAGTGAATCGATAAACAAAAATCTGGTATTACGTTCGTTTATATAGTAATTATGACCACATAAATCATTTTTTTAATTTGAAAAATAAATATACCTATATAATACTTGTAATCAAATGAGCCTAAATTATTTTATAAATGCAAGGACACCAAGGATAAACTCAAGGATAACATTAAACTTCGGTCTTCAAGGATTTCTCGCCCAAAAATTAATTTATAACTACACCGTTTATAGATTTGGTTGTGTAACTTAATAGTTTAAACCAAAAATAATRACATTTTTATTTTTTCAAAAAACACTAACATATTATTTAATGTAAATACAGTTTGTAATAATTTACTCACTGGTTTTTTTTTTGTTTTTTTTTTACAAAATTTGTAGACATGCGGAAAAAACATAAGAAAAATAAATCGAATAGGTATAGAAAACTTATATCGATATCATTAAACTGATTGGCGCAACATCAAACAAAAATAAAGTATATCTGTTTGTTGTTCCAATAGCATAATAGTAATAATAGGAAGCATACATTTTTACTGTGCCCGTGAGCTTGAATAATTTGGATTACTACGAAAATAATATTAATTGTGGTTTGCCGCTATAATTTCTATGACTACTTGACAACAAACATAATCCAAGGCCATTTGTCGGTATTATCGTTGAGCAAATATGGCCTTGAATACAGAGTCCTTTCACTTTTTTTGTAACAACATAGGATTTTTAGCATCTACTACCCACGATCAAAATAAAAAAAATAAACATAGCACTCTAGTCACACTATACTTAAAAAAACATAAAAGTATACGAACCAAATACATCTATAATAACTTTTACAGTATATAGCTTTTAGGTACAGCACAGAATAATAAAGTTTTTCTTACGGGTAGTAAATTATACCTTATATATTATTTAAAGAGACGAGACTTGATTMTTTGGGCACCAATTCTCAAGGTTCGAAATAATTWAAATTAACTTCAAAAAAATGTCATGTATCCTGYACAAATAATAGGAATTTCTATGTAAAATTGCACAAATACAATATTCAATACTATTGGTTTATCAATTATAAAATGTTTCGATTTAAAGGTACATGAAAARAACTGATTCTGAATGAATAGTATGGAATTTTTAATCTATCATAGTTTCTGTGATTTAATCGATTTAATTTGTGTGATAATAGTTATATGGTAATCTTTTTTTTTTATATTAGATTGATATCCACGGWTATACGGTAACATAATACTCGTACATAATATGTTTTACTGTAAAGTTCTGTGAAGACTTTAAAAAATCTTTACTAATGTAGTATAGAATAATAATTAATTTCTTAAAATAATATGTACAATGCAATGTCCTACGAAAATTAAGAAAATGATTACTTGAACAACGGTACTCAAACAAATTTCATAGATTTTTTTCAAAAAATATCCAAAATCGACAGTTAAAATTTGAAGAAAAAAAATCTGTATTCTGTATTGGTCGTAAGAATGCGAAATATTATAACGTTATGTAACGACACTCAATGCGGTAAAAACAAAAGTATCAGATTATAAGTCTGTTAAAAAAAAACAGTAACCCATATTCGATATTTTGGACCATCCTTGTTAAAGAATAAAAGTTAAAAATAATGTTCGTAGGTAACCTATTATAATAATATTATATAACTCAAGTAGTACTAGCATAGTTTGGTTTACCTGTATCGGTCGGTTTGAGTTTTGACGTTGGAAAAGAAATTGAAATGGTTAGTGAGTAGCGTGTACGTCGACTGACTGTTTAATGCCGGTGCCGGCTCGCCGGTTATATTTATCGGCCACTTCTCCCCACCACAACCAAATTCTCTCCACCAACGACAGTCGACAAGTCATTAATATTTTACATAATATTGTATGTGTGTGTGTGTCTGTGTGTTTTTACATGTATAAAAGAAATTATTACGAGCTACACAAGCTTCCTATAATAATAACAATAATCTATTAATCGCCTCGTACTAGTATATAATATAATATTGTGATGCTAAATTTATATTATTATTGCAGCGGTAATATTTTTTTTTGTTTTCCCACAGATGACTCAACTCCGGTCATCGCGAAGTAGAAAAAAATTATAGTGCACGTCATTGAGACTTTGTAGGATGGAAGTGAGACGGTGAAAGGACGAAGAATGACGAAAAGTGGAGGAAGAAACGTATCGGATCTGATGTGTGTATCATTCACCGGTTTTCCCTTAAAAAAAAACTACCGCCGCCAATCGAAATATCGACATTCGACGATGCCGGAAAGTCAGAGTCGGGCCTACACGCCGCGCCGTATCGACTCGTGTTTACCCACTCGCATTCCCCTCGTGTATAGGTATACGTATACTAATAATACAACCGTCAAACGATGGGTGAGAAAAATGTACCCGCGATATCGTCGATTCGGTATGTGTACATTGTACATGTTGATGTTGGCCTGCAGACCGATCGAGAAAGTCACGGAAAATCCAGTGGAGTTTTTTGTACTATGTCTGATATCTTATAAAAACATCATTATGATTATTTGTCTCGATGTCGCTCATTAAAGCAATAATAATAAAACACCTGAATCGGTGAAATGTGGTCGTAGTGATAGCCGATAGGTCGAGAACGAATCGTTGTAAATGAACGAGTCCGATAGAGAAACGATTCCATCCGTTCTTTCGTCCCCCTTCGTTCAACCGGTCAAATGTACTTACCTATGGGCTATGGCGCAGAATTCTGTGTCCGTAGTTATTTGTTAAAAATATTAGGTAATATAAATTAACTGGCGTATAGCGATGGATAATGGACAACTATATAGGTTGGACTGTTTGAATTTAAAAGAAATAAAGAGACAATAAAATATGTTCACTAGTCGAGCGACAACTATCCGACCGAAACTATCGTTAATAACAATTTTAGTATCCTTATACGGCTAAATGTACCATTAAAATGATAATATTATAACGAAATGACGACGATGACAACCCAAGTGACCTAGTCACGGAACGGTTAATGAACTGAGGAATGGTAATAATAATATGATTATCAGTGAACAAAAGGAGTGAATACTTTAGGAGCTGGAAAAGGAAGGGACGCGATTCACAAAATGAAACAAAAATCCTATCACTATATATTATACGATTTCGTCATCTATAGAGAAAAGCGGACCCGACGACAACGTCTACCCAACAATATAATCTACATCAGTGTGGTCCTCACTAAGATTTAAAAAGGACCTAATTTAATTTTTGAAAATCACTTGCAGCTGCTTACATTTTTTTTTTTTTTTAATTTGTACATTTGTATAAAATATTCTACAGTAGGCACAATAGACGAAGGGATGCATAGGAGCGCTTGCCGAGCTTGGTTGGCTTGATTGGAAAATTATTGAATTATAGTACTTCGTGCTTACATTTTTAATGATAATAATTTATCGACAATATAAAAATGTACAACTGTTCACTGAATTTAGTGAATAAAAAAACATATTAATAATAATAATAATAAAATGAGACAAGATGTTTGGTTAGGTATAAGAGTATTGTAGGAGAAGTTCATAAATGACACAAATGTTTTTTTTTAACTTTAAATTTTAGAATTAACTTACAATTTGATTTTAGTGTGGGCCACATTGACTTAAGTAAATTTCCGCAAAGTGATACATCTTGTTTTATTTTTGACATTACACCATTAATCTTTACCTGCGAAACTACATCGACGATAATGTGCATCTCAAAGTGTCTTTGTACCTATATATAATATTACATATATACTATAATAATATAATATTATGCTCGATATGCTCGGCCCAGCTATATTATGCCCTTCAGCTATAGGTACGGCTGGTCGTAGTGTATATTATAACCTATAAATTTAGACTCGGCGGCCAAAGCCTTTACCGCTAATCCTCGCACTGTGTCGTTCCTCCTAAAATTTGGATAGGTAGTTATATTTTTTACGACGTTATTGATCGGCAAACGGACGGTCGCTATGTCCTCGTTGTGCATACACAACACATGGACACGCACGCYGTACACTAGGTACCTGCCCATAATATTATATAACATATATGTATAWCATTATATTATGAATGGGTAGGTGTACACGCCTTTCTTTTGTTGCCCCGCTAAAACTTTGAGACAACCCGTGGGACGAATGGAATAATTCATACCTACGACTGGCCAAATGTGTATTATTGCTCCACTTTTATAATGTTCATATTTTATCGGTACATTATTATAACACGTCGTTATAATATAATATAATATATTGGAAATAAATTAACGCACCTACCGTTGATGAACACTTAGAACACATTAGAGAAATCGTGCAGATAATTCTCTATAATTTCCATAACATGCCACCGTAACTATACTATAAAAGTGGGGGAAATTACATATACTATATGCAACGAAAATTTTTATAAGACTTCTRGACGGATAATTTCCTTATTATTATAAATTTATTGTTGTTCGAATATTTTAATATCATACACATTATTTTACAATACTCAACAACGTGTAATAAGTATWTAGGTACGTAATCGTATAGATGCTTTTAAAATACCAATATTATACATGTAATSATTAAAACCATTAAAGTACTTGATAAAAATATATTCTTGAGTTGACTTCACTACTTCAGTTGTATTTATTAATGGTAAAAAATAAGTATTATTGTTTATTATGTATTATGCAAACTGTCGACTTGTTAAATATTTTTTTATTTTCGTTAGTCAAAAATTACCTGTCATCGATATTATTATCAATCTAATATAGTTGTGAAGAATGATATAATAATAACCAATTTAAATTTAATTTAATATTTAATATTTTATGCCTATGAATTTGTAAAACTAAAACATTTTTTCGGAACTCTGCGGAGAGTGAGATTAAGCAATATTTAAACATAGGGATAACATTATATTAATGGTAAAAACTGTGATGATAATATTATAATATTTTAATATATTATTCAATCGTTTTAGGTATCTGAATATACGAAACTTATGAAATAAAATGTGAACTGCAGGCTATCTACAATATTAATAATTACCAAGTGTTACTTCTCTGATTTCTAAACTATATTATTAATATATAAGCGAATAGCTATAATAAGTGGAAAACACGTCTATTTTATCCTATCGAGTATGTAATATTTAGTAAAAATGAGCACAAAGAATATATAGCGAAGTTCATGGTCGGTTCTAACGCATATTAAGAATGACCAAATTTTAGCTCAGCCCGCACGTCATCCTTGAACGGTTATTGACAATTAAATGACGCCCTCGAACCCGATCAATATACCTACTCCAAAAACTATTCTGATGTGTGATAAGGAATTAAAAATGTACGTATGTTGTTAGTAAAAAATTTAAAAAAATATATCGATAAAATATAGGTAGCATAAAATATATTTTATTTTTAAATGTTTCAAACGAATTAACATTTTATAAAATTAATTCAAAAACATTAGTGTTTTTTTAAATAATGAGTATCTTAAATGACACGTTTTGGTTATATTTTGTCATAGATCACCTTGTTCACATTATACATATTGTATTGATACTATGCATGTGTAGGTACATAAAAAAATACATTATAGAACAAACATAGAATGTTTTATACGAAAATAAAAATCGACACATTACGGTTACATTACACATCAAAAACGTAAAACTATACATCTTATTACAGCGCAGCAGTACAAAATATAGTAATCGTAAAAACCCAAAAAATGACTAGGTTAGGTGGYTTAGCAACACGCGAGTAATCGGACTGGAGTATTCATAAAATTAACATTTTAATTTACTCTATAAAATGTTTGCCATTGAAACCGGTCGAAAATTCCAAAATTATGCGTTATGGATACATAATACATTATTATACCTGCTATGCGAGTTTGGGAACCACTGCACTACAGCATAAGCAATTATTTATTAAATTATATTATTGTAATATGACATTGCGAATCTGACATAGGAATCCGACTATATTCTTCTCCGAAAAATGTCCGTAGGTGCCTACCAATATGATATTATTAATAACTATTGTATGATTAAGAATTTTAAATTTTAGAAGAATACATCTTATTCGGTTTAACAAGCGTGAACCGCAGCAACGCCGCCGTAGGTAGTAAATATAAATTATAATAAAATTATACCTATATATATATTGTGATAATGATAATATTATATATTGCGCGAAAATTGTTGTGAACAATTTCTTGTTTTAAATGGAAACCAAATACGGCAAATACGCACTTTGACGAGAGCTCACGTTTAGTAGGCGACAACCGTAACGCGATAATAAAACCACMTCTCGTCCACAAGATCGTAATACGAGGTACACCCGAAGTAATATCCAAAGAAGGCTGCAGTGACTTTAARTAGTAAACAGGATATCCCGCGAGGATTTACCTATTGCGATATTTCACAAAATAATGGAAATATCAAAATAATTCTGGTTTTCTAATGAGAACTACAACTATTTCATATTTTAATTAATTTTTGTGTTTTGGTAAAAAAGTTAATGAACATATTTTTATTATTATATTATTTTCAAAAAAAAATTAAAGATAGCCATTTTGTAGAGTTTCCGGGAGTTGATTAGTTCAGATTGGGTAATTTGAGTGATCTCTTTTTTGGGCCACGGGTTTTTTAGTGCTGTTAGGACGCTGAGAGAATCACTGATAATCAAAAAGTTATTTGTTAGAAGTGAATTTGCTAATTTTAGACTTGTAAGTCTAAACCAGAATTTTGATATCTCCATTATTTTGGGAGATATCGCAATGGGTAAATCCTCG